AGCCCTAACCGGTTTGGCTCAGTGGATAGAGCGTCGGCCTGCGGACTGAAAGGTCCCAGGTTCGATTCCAGTCAAGGGCATGTACCTGGGTTGCGGGCACATCCCCAGTAGGAGATGTGCAGGAGGCAGCTGATCGATGTTTCTCTCTCATCGATGTTTCTAACTCTCTATCTCTCTCCCTTCCTCTCTGTAAAAAATCAATAAAACATATTTTTTTAAAATAAATAAATAAATAAATAAAATAAAAAAAAAAAAAGAAGTGGGGAGAGAAGTGAGGGACTGCAGGAGCCCTTGACTTGAGCCAGTGCAGGTCATTAATTCCTGTAAGTATTTATTGGAGGCCTATTACATGCAAGCTCCTTGGTTGTCCCTGGTATCCCCTGTCCTCTAAGCCATGAAATCCTATGCCTTCCCCTCATCTGCCTTCCCAGAGCCTCCAAGGTGGCATGTGCCCAGCATGAACCCCTGCCTGGCCTGCATGCCTCCTCTCCCTCAGGCCTGACTTTCCATCTTGGCAGTGCTGGGCTTGAGGACGGGAGACAGGCTCTCCCAGCTGTCAGGGCAAGCCCATGCCTTTCGTAAACATTTACTGAATGGCCCAGGCCAGTGTGCCTCAGTTGGTTAAGCATCGCCCCATGCACTGAGAGGTTGCCAGTTCAATTCCTGGTCAGGGCATATGCCCAGGTGGATTCAGTTGTCTGGTTAGGGTGTGTGTCCCTGGTCGGAGTGTGTGTCTCTGGTCAGGGAATGTGGGAGGCAGCCCATCAGATATTTCTCTTTCTGTCCCTTCCTCTCTTTCTAAAATCAATAAAAACATATTTTTTTAAAAAGCAAACATTTACTGAATGTTTACCATGTGCCAGAAGCTGCATCAAGTCCTAGAGATTCATCAAAAGGCACAGGTTTTTGCTCATTTTCTTCCAGTTGCTGAGCACAGGCACAGATGTCCTGAAGAAAGTGCAATGATAGCATCGGCACTATTTTGTGTTCTGCTTTTTCACCAAACAAGGCCACATTTGCATCTTCCCCACAGTTTTATATACGATAAGCTTGAGGTAGCTAAACAACAACCAAGGTAGTCAGGAATATAGAACTACAATATCACACCGGGTAAGATATAGTTATCTCCTCACAATTGTCCTTTGTAAGGACTGTGCTCTATTGGACATTTAGATTTGAAATTTCCAACTATATTGCTATTATAGGAAATACTGCAATAAATATCTGAGACTATATTTCTTGTTTTTCCTCTACTAACTTATTTCCTCAGGAAAATATATGGTATAGTAGAAAAATATAGGCTTTGGAGCCAGACAGATTTAGGCTCCAAATCTAGCTCTGCCACTTATGAATTATGTGACCTTGGGCAAGTTCCTTAACCTTGCTAACTTTCAGTTTCCCTTCTACACAAAGTCATTAATTAATAATACTCACCCCAAGGGATGGTTGTGGGGATTATTCAATGCTGATGGGTAAAATAGTTTTGAGATTGATCTGGGTTTAAATTCTGGCTCTCTCGCTTAACTTGGACAAGATACTCAATCTTTGTAAGTTGTTTCCTTCTCTGTAAAATGAAAGTTAAAGTGTGTACCTAATGAGGTTATTTGGAGGATTAATTAAATATAGATAGCATGTTTAGTACTGTGCCTAGTATACAGTAAGAGACCAATAAATACTGTTATTTTTTATCGTAGTAATTACTATTATTATATAAGAAGGAAGCACTGAATAAATGTTGGTGTGGCCATTTTCTCCTCCCTAATCTCCTACTAAAGAAAAATATCCAAGAATTGGACGACTGGGTCAAGGATAAGGCATTATGTACAGGTATCACTTTACAGTTCACCAAAAGGATTGTATTCAATTTACAATGCCACTAACAATACGCTGAATCTATCCATTTCACTGCAACCCCACACTAATTTTTTATGTTATTTTTAAAGGTGCAACATGGTATCTTGTAGTTACTTCCATTTTCATTTCTTCATTACTGTGAGGGTGAATGTTTTCCTGTAGTATTTTTGTTTACTGTTTGGATATCTTCTAGCATGAATGATTTGTTTCTACCTTTGCCTATCATTTTGAATCTTGGTGTTTTTTCTTAAAAATTTGAATAAACTTTATATATTAAAAACATTATAATATTTAATGCAAATATTTTCCTAGGAAGCTGGAGCCAGATGAGGTCTGGGACCAATGAGGAGAGAACAGGGGAAAGTACTGTGTGTTCAGGATCCTTTCTTAAATGGGGCTGTCTGCCGTCTCTGCTTGAACTCAACTATTCTCACTCCTTTAACATTCATCTCTGGACATCTCTGGCCCTGCATGACACTGTAGTTCTACAAAATGTTTTTTTCTGGTTGTCTTGTAGACTCCTCAAGCCTAGCACAGCTATCAATAACTGAAATCATCAGCTGTCCCCCAACCAGCAAACTTCCCAAACTTCCTCATTTGGTCCCTTATTATCCTAGCCAAGAGATCTTGAGACTGTTTTTCAATGTAGTAAAAAGGCCTCCCAGCGTCTCAAATAATAATCTTGAATTATAAGTCACATGTTCTGACTTTTGATTTGGAAAATATGATGATCATACATATCAGGAAAATAAGCAGAAGAGGCGGCCAAGTTGACACGTTATCTCAGGCCTTCTCTGCATGCCAGTACCTGCTATTAAAACCGATGCACATGGGTCGGTAAGCAGAACAATCCCATGGAGACTGCTATCCAGCGACAGGTATTTGGTAGTGGGATCCAAGCATTGGCCAGGGAAAAGAATGCACTAGATATAATTGCCTTGAGCATTTGGCCCAAGTGCCTACTTTCCTTAAATTTTTTATATTTAATATATTTATACATACATATACATATTTAATATAAAATATATTTTATATTTTTAAAATTTGGGGTAATTATTTTTAATACTTTAATAGTTAACGGTATTAATTTTTCTATTGATGTTCCAGTTAGGATAGGAGAGCCATGAAATCAGAAAATGTGTTTTAGCCTTCCTGCTGAGGCCTTCCTGCTTAGCCTATGGCCTTTGCCACTGATGTGTAGTGGCAGTTCCCACTAAAGTCAGCTGACATGACCACCAAAACCTGCTATAGAGTAAACACAAGGCAAGCATCAGGTCAACTATAGAAAGTCAAAATTCCGTTGAATCAAAATTAAAATAAAGAATATTACTATTTCTTTAAAAATATGGTTTTTTTTATTTTGGAGAGATAGGAAGGGAGAGAGAGAGAAACATTGATGTAAGAGAGAAACATTGATTGGCTGCTTTCTGCATGTGCCTATTGGGGATGGAGCCCAAAACCCAGGTATATGCCCTGACCAGGAATCCAACCCATGACCTTCCAGTGCATGGGACGACACTCAACCAACTGAGCCACATGGGCCAGGGCAACATTACTGTTTCTAAGACTATATAGTTCATGAGAAGCCATGTTGGTAATATCCAAAATGGAAGCTCCCCTCCCTCCCGCTAGTTCCCAATTCTCCCCTCAATTTCCCCGAATACATAGCACTGGATAACTTAAGCCCCATCCTCTGCAGAGACAAGAAACACTTCCAAGAACACACACTGAGGGCAACAACGCTTTCTTATTGCTTTCGGACTATGTGTTGAAGACAAACTGCATGCAGTTCTAAAGTTCTTTTCAAGGTTGGGTGTGCCTTTGTATAGTGCACGTCCATATGTGTAGGTACATGCACGTGGGTGTGTGGGTGTGGACAAACTGTTCATGAGGAAACACTTAAACACTGTCTGAGGAAATGATGGGGTGTATTTTTTGAAAGGCAAAGTATGATGGTGTGAAAAACACATCTTCAAACTTCAACTATTCATTTATCCCCACAGGAGCCAGTGGAAAAGAAAAGACGGGGCTTCAGGCCCAGGGTATTCTAACTGTTTTTACAACAAAGACCAGCTAGAGGTTCCCTATGTGAAGAATATCTTTGGGGAGATGGGCAGTGAGAAAACTGATAAGAGGTGGAAATCTAGAACTCACATCACCACCACCACCACCAACAACAAATATCACTCACAAACAAAGCAGCTTTCCAAATCCCAGTCGTTGCCACATGCTTTTTGGGCTGAGAGTGAATTCCTTTCCACAGTCAACTGAGCAAGCTTTGGGTGGTCTATTCCCGCACCAGTTCCAGGATTTAACCCACACTCCTCCAACAGAAAAACTGGTTAATTTACCTCCCAGGTTGTAAACTCTTGATTTCATTCCCTCACCTCCAGCACCGCATAGTAAGGTCAAGGGTGAAATTCCCGGGCAACTTCCCCATAGCACCACCAGCAAGGAGCCCCACCCATCCCAGCCTACTCGCGCATCCCAGTCCCAGCCCGGTTCACTCCGGACAGTTTGGCAAGTTCCCGGAGCTCCAGCCCTCGGGGTGGGGAATCATTTCGCCTCCGGTGAGAGGTCAGCCCTCCCTGGCCCCGCTGACCTTCTGCGTGGGGCGGGGAAAGGTGTTTCTGCGGCCGAGTGTTGGGCGAGGAGCACCTGGGTGCGTGCGGCCAGGATTCCGCTCCACGCGGCGCAGCGCCCTTGTCCCATTTCACCCGCCGGCCCGGCCCGGCCCGGTCCTGACAGCCGATCGAGGCGCGGCAGAGGGCGCGCTCCGCCGGGACCCCCAGCGGCGGGTCCCACCCCGGGTCCTGGCGGAGGCGGGGCAGCTGCGCTGGACCCACTCGGAGAGAAGCGCCCCGGAGTATGAGGCTCCAGCAAGGCGAGGGCAGGGGCGCTCCCCACCCCGCGGGACCCGAGCCCGTCTGGGATGCTGTGTGCAGAAAGAGCACCATCCAGGCACCCCAAAGTCCTTAAGGGAAAACCTCACTGCAGATTTGCCCCGGCAGGTGCGCACCGGGGGGATGCTGCGCGCCCGAGGACCCCAGACAGGTGTCCCGGGAAAGCTCCGCGCCTCCCTCCCCCACGTCCGGGCCGCCGCCGGACGCAGGTCCAGGGAAAAAGAAAACGCATCTGCTTTGTACCTGATTCTGTCCTTCTCTGCCCTCTGCAGCTCCTCATTTCTTTCCAGCACCTGAAGGATCTTCCTGGCTTCGTCGTCATTTAGGAAGCTAAAATCAAACCCCCGAGGAACGTTCGTCATTTTCTCTGGGTCGTGCGTGAGTTACTCTTAAGCTCCTTGGTGCCTCCTGTTACGATGACATCTTTCGAGCTACAGAAGACTTGGTCCCATAGCCAATAAGTCTGTCCCTTTGAAAATCTACAACCACAAACTTAGGGAACAGCCCACACCTACGGGGCTCATTTTGACACCACCTGAACGACAAGTTTGTCTCCACCTACCCAACCGAGGTGCCAGATGAACGGCTTACAGGGAGAGAGGGAACCAATCCCGCTCCCAAGGGGCGGGCCCTTTCTCATCCCCTCCCCTCCCCCCCCCCCCCATCTCCTATCCTGTTTGCTAAACCAACAAACCTACTTACTTCTGCTGTTAAGTGAGGCTGAGTCTTAAGTGTTGGCTCCAAAGTATTTGTTTTGGCTGTTGCTGTTTGCTCTCAGAACTTGAGCTGGATTAATAGGAGGGCAAAGGAAAGAGGTTCGCCACGAAGCTTCCTTTTCAGTAAAGGGCCCATTGGAAGTAGAATTGCCTGTAGGCGCCTTAAAGGGGCTGAAGGAAGATTAGTTACCCTATTTGAAAGGCAGGAAAGGGCTGAACTCTTTATAAGTCTCTGTGAGCAGACCAGGCCCAAGGGCTGAATTTAAAGCATCCTTGGAAATAAATTTTTTTTTTTGTCAAGCCTCTCATCCTTCAGATGTCACCCCCCCCCATCCGATTGCCCCACAAAAGTCATTTTCAGATTTTAGGAAAGAAACAACATAAAACTGTTTATGGCGTTTTAGGAGAAAGCCCTGAGGCAAAGAATAATAGGAAGCACCTGTTTGTAGCTTTCTGTAAGATTTGATCATCTTAGCCCTGCCTGGTGTGGCTCATTCGGTTGCGCGTCCTCCCATGCACCCCAGGTTTCTGGGCTTGATCCCTGTAGGGGACCTGCAGAAGTCAGCCGACCCACTATCTCTCTCACGTGGACTTCTCTCCCTCCTTCCCCCCTTCCCTCTCTCCCTCCTTTTCACTCTCTAAAAATCAATGGAAAAAATATCCTCAGATGAGGATTAACAACAACAACAAAGTCCAAAAAGCATCAACCAGTAAAAAGACTGAGAAATTTGTCCTCAATAAAAATTTTTTTAAAAAAGATTTGATCGTCTTAAGAGAAGTAATGCAAGTGCCACTTTTAAATACCTAATCCTCTGACTAAAGCCAAATGTAATCCTATGAAACCACAGAAACAGGTTTTCTTAGAAAGTAGTATTCAAAGATATGATGGCACTTTCTAAACACATTCATATTGATATTTTAAAATTATCAAGTCTTTTCCAGAAAATGTTGTTTCTTTTGCTTCACTCTCCACACAAAAATAAACTTGGTCAGATCAACTTCCCTGCCCAAGGCCTCAGTTTGGTCACTTCTTATGTAGTGGTGATGTCACAAAATCATGGTGTCAAAAATGGCTACTTATGTTTTGGCCTCTGGGTCCTCTACTCACCTTGAGCATCATTGTTTAAGACATATGTAGGCAGGTAGCCATTCAAATAATTTTCAGTGGGTGTTTGTTATTTCTCTGCAGCAGGAATCAATTCAGTTCACCAATGTTGTACAACACTCACATTCCTTTATACATAGTCTCTGTGTTAATGATGTTGGTTTCGGAATGTGCATTTCCCCCCACCCCCATTCATTAGTGTGTTCATTTATTCAGCATGCATGTAGGACTTTTTAATGTGAGCACTGGTAGACTTTTATCTTGTTCCTGTCCCCGGGGTATCAGTGAATTGATTTTAACTAATGTGTACTGGTTCCTACTGTTTGCAAGCATTGTACACTGTGAAGAAGTTAGTCCTTGTATTTAGGAAGTTTATAGTACAGTAGGGGAGATAACACAAAAAGCAAAATCACTACACTGCAAAGAAGAACACAATAGAGACATAAAGAAGGTCCTACTGGAGCACAGAAAGAAGCTGGTTCCAGCTGAGTGGATGAGAGGGAGGAGGACAGGGTATTTGGGTTGCAACAACAAAGGTCAGCTTTCAACAGAAGAATGGAGGGTGCTGAGAGGAGATGTGTGAGTCAATCCCAGGCAAGGCAGCTTTACACTCCAGGAATCTTCTCATATTCTTTCAACTCCTCTGACTATTAGCCAAAGTGAACAAAAACTTGGAAGCTAGAAAATATAAGGACAGATTCAGGAATTGGTAAGTGATCTGTTTTTGCTAGAGTATACATTGTCAATAGGGAAGGTATTGCCCCTAATGAAGCAAAAATTGGTTCTTGGTGGTTGAAAACATCTTACTTTTAAATATAAAGTATAGAACATAAACATGTGTATAATGCATAAACAGATATACACTATTATATTGGTGGCATTAACATTTTGTAAGAGGGGTGATTAAGAAAAATATCCTCGAGCCCTAGCTGGTTTGGCTCAGTGGATAGAGCGTCAGCCTGTGGACTGAAGTGTCCCAGGTTTGATTCCGGTCAAGGGCACATGGCTGGGTCTCGGGCTTGATGCCCAGTGGGGGACATGCTGGAGGTGGCCAATTAATGATTCTCTCTCATCACTGATGTTTCTATCTCTCTTTCCCTCTCCCTTCCTCTCTGAAATCAATAAAAAAATATTTTTTTAAAGGAAAATGATAGACACATACTTCTTTAAAAAAAAATCCTCGGAAGGCTCCTTAGGGGGACAGTAATGAAAATGAGGTTGAGAAACACCAGGCTAGGGCATAGGGCATATGAAGAGTAAACAAGGCTGAGACCCAACTATGATTACTAGGCTAAGGAATCTGGACTCCAGGTGTAAGCAATAAGGCATCAACACAGGGTTTGAGGATGACAATGATGTCGTTGAAATGGAGCAATGGGAAGATGACTGTGGCAGCAGGAAATAGGAAGAGTAGAGTGAGGATGATGGCAAGGATACCGTTGTGCTGGAATGCCGATGTAGGAGAAAGGACAAAGAGGACCTAAACTAAAGCAGTGGAAGTGGGAATAGCAAAGAGGGTTGGAGTCCAAAGATATTGGCTGGCTAGACTTGGTAACGCATTTGATATGAGGGTTAAAGAAGGAGTCACAAAAATGATGCAGGTTTTTAAGAGAAGTGCCTGAAAGTAATCTGATGACACAAGAATCGTATGGTTTGTAAAGAGATCGCGAGTTCAGTTTTAGACATAAAGAGATTGAGGTACTTGCAATTTATGGAGACACTCAGCAAAAGTGAGAATTGAGGCTGAAAATTTGTAAAACAGGGATGGAGAAGTAGGTTTGGGAGTCATCTGCTAAAAGCCAAAACCCTGAGACTGGATCAGATGGCCAGAGCAGAGGGTAGACAGGGCATAGAGGCTGAGCTCAGACCCTTGAATGACCACCTCAGACATCGTCACCGAGGCACACTTCAGCCCTGGGTGGTGGCACAGCAGGGCATTCGATTGAGAAATTTTAACATTGAGGTTTTATAATGAGAAATTTGCAAGGCATTGAGGCTTGCTCTAGAAACCATACAGAATAATTTCTGTGGGGCTATAAACACCATGCTTTTAAAGTAAAAATAATTCTCAAAGTGTTGCATGATGGGCTCTAAGCAGCTATTTTCCACCTTAGTATCTGGTAACCCTGGCAACCTCCTGCCCAGCCTCCCAGCTAAAGCGATACTCATCAGTTTTGTGGGGTTTTTTTTAGTAATAACAGCTGGGTAGATAGCAATAATCTTTAGAAATCTCTCATAGTCTCCTGTTTCTCCAGTCTGTTGGCCAAATCCCCAATAGATGCCTTAGTTTTTCCCCTTCCCTGGCAGTTCACTCAGCCAAGAGAAATGCTGATCACATACTTGGTTAAATATCTGAATTTTTGTCACCAAAAGTCACTTAAGCTCCTAGTAGGCCCTTGAAAATCATCTCTCTAGCATGGGGATGGGTTTCCTCCCACCCACACACATATCTGCTCTGGGGTGAGTTTGGGTGGTAGCTTTCAATTAAACAAGCAAATACATGTCGGCTTGAATGTTAGATGTTAGCAACAGGACTTTATTAATAAACAAGAGACGTGAAACTCCGAGAAGGAAAGAGTTTGCACAGTTGTTCCTTCCAGTTTTCACTATTCTAACAGTAGTTCAGTGAATAGGTTTGCAAATCTAGGCAGAAAACTCCCTTTTTGGTTTCCCTGAAGCTTCAGTCCTGAATCCACAATTATAGAATAAATACTCCATGAAGAACAGCATCTTACACTCTCTGAACGTTAGTTTTTTTGGTTTGTTTTTGTTTCCTACAAAAACAAGGATAATAATAGAACCAGCCTTAGAAGATTATTGTAAAAATTCACTGAGATGATGCAATAAAGCAATTGACAAGATGGATGCTTAATAAACGGCACCTATTAATATTATTCGCACACAGAGCAGCCTACAATTTTAAAAGTAACATTTTCTTTGACTACTTGAGTTTGGGGGGAAATGGAAAATAAAACATAGGAGTCAAACAGATGGAGATGAAAAATCTCAGCTTCATTACTGTTAAGTTAATGGAAGAATGTGACTTCATTCTACAGCCAAATGGGCTCACCAGTCTCATCTCTCGCAAGTCTAGACCTTGGCGCAGATCACCAGAGGGAGCTTTGGGTCTGGGGAGCAGATATCATTGGTGGTAGGAAGATGGTAGGGAGAATGCCACCAGTACTTAAAGTTTCCTACTGGTTGGTCTCACTCATTCAAAAAGCAATGAGTCATGGCATTTCATACCCTTACTACCCTCCAATCAAATGATTTACTCCTCCATCTACCTTGGGAAGGAGAAAGTAAGGACCAGATAGAGAGGCTGGGAAGTTACTCTAGTCATGAAAGTACCTGCATAGAAAAGTAAGGGAACGGTTGCTCCCCCAAGTAATGCCCATTATATAAAAATGTAAGAATATAGAAAAGAAAAAAAAGGACCAATGATCTATAATCCGCTATTTTTTTTTAAAATATATTTTATTGATTTTTCACAGAGAGGAAGGGAGAGAGATAGAGAGTTAGAAACATCGGTGAGAGAGAAACATCGACCAGCTGCCTCCTGCACATCTCCCACTGGGGATGTGCCCGCAACCCAGGTACATGCCCTTGACCGGAATCGAACCCGGGACCTTTCAGTCCGCAGGCCGACGCTCTATCCACTGAGCCAAACCGGTTTCGGCTATAATCCGCTATTTTAAAATATTTTTATTTACATCCTTATATAGCCCCCCTTTTCATAGATATCTAATATATTATTAAATAGTCTTCTATAAC